AAAAAAAAAGATTATCTAATATCCTTACCTGGTGATAATGGTCGTTTCAGGGCAAAGGAATGTGCGCTACATACTGGTTGCTGCGAAAGGATACCTCGGTTCTTGCAGGATAATAAAATGATCTCTACATTATAGTCATATATACGATGAACCGGTTCTTGACAGTTTTATTTATCCGCAGTTGATGCTTAATATATCAACATGTAAATATTTCAAGTAATTTGCACAAAGAATATAAATTAGTGTTTGCGTGAACTCGTTGTCGGTCGTGATTTTGCTTGTTTGTGGGAGATCGAAGAGTGATTTATTGATGACCCGTTGTCCATATGTTTTCAAAATGTTAATAAACAAAACCTAAAATAAATTATGTTAGTATCCTACTCTTCCAAAAATGATGTTTCACCAATATGTAAACCCTTTTTTGCCTTCATCAGAGCTCAAGTAGCGTGCGAGTCTCAGCCCAGGTGCTAAAGTCGTGATCAGCTGAAGTTTTAGATGGTCCATCCGTTTCTATGAACTCGTATGCCCATTTCATTGGTATCCTTTCACAGACACGTTTGGCCTCGCGAGGAATCCACTCAGATGTGTCATGGTTTATCTGTCGTCTGTTCTTCCCATCATGTAAACCGGCCCATCGATGTGCTTTCATGACATATTCCACTGGATCGTTGAAGGCAGTGGCTCTGCAAAATTAAACATCTAAAAATTTTGATATATTAGGCTGCTTACACCCCCGAAGAGAAGAAGAAATCCGAGCGCGCAGCACGCCCAGCTCTTTCGTAGACGAAGGTTGCGACAAAAGGCAGGCGGTATTTCCGGCATAGTTCTACGATACTCTCGAAACAGTTTGGAAATGGCCAATGCAGCTGAATTCCCTGAGAAGTAAAGGGTGTTTTTGCAGCTGGGCTGTCCAATGTCAGCCGCGTTCGAGGATAATCTTTGGGAGAAGCTTGTATGAGTGGTGGCCGTTGAAGTTCTCCATTGCTGGGACTCCTTCCTTTCTGAAGACATGATGTTAAATGCGATGCGAGAAACCCATGTAAAGTTGTCCTTCGGCTCGCTTGTAGGCCTCGTCGTGCCTCAACCTCTCTCCATTCTTAGCTGCAAATTCAATTTCTGGTTCATAGTGTTCATTATGTAGGTATACCTAGTCGTTGTAAGATGTATATGAAGTAATTTTGTTTCTGAGTCTTGCCAGTCAACCTAAGCACCTTTTCTTTGCTGATTAGCTGCATATTCTCTAGTGCATTTCATTCCGCAAGTAGCTCCCAGGCGATAAATCAAGAACTGAATCTTCTGTTTATGTGCACATTTCGCCCGGCCTTTCTGATTCTACGTGAGACTTATCCAGACCAGCTGGCTTTCCAGCCCGCTATCGTATACTGCAGACGAGGTGCAGTCTTGGTAGCCAGCATAATTAATGCTGTGCGAGACCACTATTTTCATGTCAAGAATGTCTTAACTAGGATATTTCACTTTGCACCGGAACTGGTGATCCTGAGACTGAGATGAGCATTACCGCCCGCGTTCACATGACTGTGGAAAGTTACTTTAGAGAACATGATAAGCTTCATTTCCTTAGAGATAAGTAAACAGATCAATAAATTGATAAAACCCAGCAAATCACTTCAAAAGGTAGCCAATAATCTGCGCCGTGGTCGAAAACATGTGTGTGCAAAGCTCATTTAGCTCAGTCGGTTCATGCCGTCCCATAAAATATTCACATATTAGCAGGCATACTCACAAACTTTGAGTTTTATATTATAGGTTGAGTAAAAGTAATGAGAACTTTTCGCTCCCGTTTCAAACTTT